TCCTCCGCCCGGCGCTTCCCGGCTCTGCCGGGGCCCCGGCGGGAAACTAGGGCGGCGAGCATCCCACCAGCGCTGGGATCTCCCGTGGGGAGAGGTACGGGTAGTCCCTGAAGTCAGGAGCACTTAACACAAAGTCTCAGTGCAGACCCATTCATTCTCAGGGGGGTGCCTGTTCAGGATCTCCGTCATTATGAAAAACAGCTCAAAACCCAGTCTGGCGCTTCCTCCGTTCCCCCGTGTGGAAACGAAGCATTATAAAACTGCTTTTATTTAACCCCTATTCTAAGACCTGAGTTCCTTGTGGGCTTCATTGCATTGTCAAGCTTATTCTTGCACTCTTGAAAAATAGCAAGCCGTTGCATTAAGAACAAAAAGAAAAAAAAACAAAAAACCCAGGGGTTTTTGTTTGACCGCATCACACGAGTCCAGGAGCTAAGCACAAAACCGAATGGTGAGAGATGGATGGTGAAGGAAAGCAATGCAGGGCCGTTGCCTTTTGCAAAAGTCCCAATGCCGCCTCAGTCGCAAGAGCCACCCCCAGCCCCTGTGCACACCCGGTATTGCCAGTCCCACACGTAAAAGCTGCACAAAACCTTTATGAAGTGTTTAAAAACACCTGAGGCAATAATCTGTTTTTTGGCTTTTTCCCCAGACTTGTTTTTGTAATTAGATGAACGGGGACATCTTAAAGAATTGATGCTCTGACATACTGGTATGACTTCAAGGGCTTGAGGATCAAGAATAGTGATAAACATGAAAGCTTGCAACAGAATTGTAAGAGCATTATTGGAAGGTGTGTGTTTAACGATGGATAAATGCACGTACAGTCAAACTATTTCTACAATGAAGCGTGGAGGGAAGGAAAAGTTTGGCAAGCATACGGTCCATGACAAGAGCCTGCGCTACATTTAGCACAGCTCTGCGTGTATCACCCATGCAAGCCTTCCCCAGAGCCAAAACACCCCTTGGTACTGCAAAGACAGGTAGCGTGTTATGGGTGTATTAGTCTTCTTTTTTAAAATAGAGCATAGAGATGGCCAGTTAGTGTATGATATAATCACAGAATCATAGAATCATAGAATCATTAAGGTTGGAAGAGACCTCCAAGATCATCGAGTCCAACCATCAACCCAACAACACCATGCCCACTAAACCATGTCCCTAAGCGCCTCATCTACCCGTCTTTTAAATACTTCCAGGGATGGTGACTCAACCACTCCCCTGGGCAGCCTGTTCCAATGTTTAACTACTCTTTCAGTAAAGAAATTTTTCCT